CAACAGTAGAGTCTACCCGTCGAAGGTGATTTTAGGGATTAAAGTTTGTGGATACATGATCCATCAGGTGTCCAAACAAACTGGCACTTTCATCACCTACCAAATACGACTGATCGGACCATAAAAGTTTTGTAATTTTGTGAAAATTGCCAAAACTTGATGGTAAAATTACCGGAATGCCGGAATGATGTGCAATTTCTTTTAATCATGCCGAATTTTTGTTAGTGTTACGCTACTTGGATAAATAGCACGCATTTGTTACCTACAAAAACGTCAACCTCTGACTCTGACTAGATACAACCAGTTTTACCACATTCAAGAATATTAATTCTGAATGTCAGACGTCCAAATCGATGATCCATTGCGATAAGTCTAGTTACAGTTCTGACAAATTAACTTTGATCTTTCATTCGGTCACACACAGATCTGTCAAAATTACACAACCATATTAATGACTTTTTGTGCGCAATTTGCGTTATTTTTGCGCAATTTTCAAGGAATATTGCGTGGTTTGTCGTTTCCTGGAGTATTCATCTCGGACCGCCTACCTCCCGACATCACTTATATCTTTCAGAACAACTTTTTCCGGCCAATTATATTATGTTTCGGACCTTTCAAATATACCTTTTAACATTCTAACGGAGATTAACGGTTCAGGTGGAAGTTTCACTGCATCGCATTATTTATGAAAATATTTGCCGAATAACTTGTGGAATAGAATAAATCGCACAATTAAAAAAATTCTGCACTTTTTTAATAACACTGGCACTATTAATTATTATACTCCATATTCATTTCTATTCTTCACTTTTTGCCAGCTTGACGATTACTTGTACAATGTACATACAATATTTACCATCGCATCTATATTTTCAGTACTACGTATTTAAAATTTAAAGGTATACGTTATTCAGTACGGATCTAATACCCGTCTTACGCGTGGCGTCTTTTTCTCGATTACAACAAATTTAATATTTCCCTGCGTATAACAAGGTGCCTTGACAACTTCCAACAAGGTAACTTCACAACCTCAAACATGGTACTTTGACAACCTCCAAAAACTCAAGAAGGTAGCTTTACAACCAGTTACAGTGTAAGTGTTGTTGTGCAATAAGATAGGTAGGATGCTAGTATAAGGAATGCGTGGTACTGCTTCTCGTTATATAACAGTGCACATAATAATAGTGCATCTGCTGCACTAGTAAACAGTATTGCAGACGTTTAGTGACGGTCTAACCACCCTAGTAGTAGATTTGGGCGTCTACTTTTTAACTTTAAGTTAATTACGAAGTTATAAAGTTGTAGCTTTGTAACTGTAAGTGCATTGGTTGGTCAGTATTTTGCAGGTTCATTTTATTTTTGTTGCAATTATTACTAACGTCATCCTTTCGTGCACGTCTTTGTCTTCTATGAGTTGGGTGGGGTCGAAATCGAATTATATACTACGTTGCGCAATTAAGGTCACGTTGTTTTTAATCGATCAATCTATTTAAAAAGGCAGATATAGTCGCTGCTATTACTTCTCAATCTATTTAAAAAGGCAGATATAGTCGCTGCTATTACTTCTCAATCTATTTAAAAAGGCAGATATAGTCGCTGCTTCTCCATACAGCACTCCGGGATGTAAAGTGTAAACAGTATAGCACGCACTTGCGCAGGTTAATATATCGCGAATAATGAATATCTACACAAGGGCTTTGGCACGCCGGGTGGATATAGATATACAGCACGGACTACGGACTACGGAGGGCCCACCAGTCCGGAGTAGCTGTATATATTTACATCCCGGTGCACGAGGAGGGGCAGGTAAACTGGAGATATATACCGTGGATATATATCTCCAGTTACTTCATATAGAATGTAATGCTCGCTATTTCGTCAGATCGTGCGTTTTATAAACGTTTATAAATTATACGGTTGGAAAATCACTTTGTTATTTGATGCTTACTATATTTTGTGGAGACGTTTTGTTGAAATGGGGGCGGATAAAGACACCACATGACATCATTTGGCCTCCTTATCAATCCTGTAAAATTGTCATTACTACGGAATAAACTGCAACTGTTAAACTGTTATTTCTGCAGAATGTTATGTTAACAGTATATCTGTATATTAGTCCACACAGGCCGTGACATGATGGCTCTGTTGTTAACCATCATGTCACCTGTGTTAAAGCACTAGTTAAGTGGGTAACACTCTGTTGATATCTCTTTAGGGGGATTTGAGGTCTCTCAACCTTGCTTAGTTGAGTGTGTCCCACAACCAAGCACCTTGCCTAGAAGTCCGGCGTTATGTATTATAATGATCCTGGACCTATTAAGTGGCACGTAGCGGACTAACCTTGACGTCTGGTCGTCTGCACTCTTATATCATGATTTATGATAAACTATAAAATATACATACGTTTATCTTATGAACCTTAAGAAGAAGCATTAAGGAACCTAATTATGAAGGAACCTTAACCCTTAAACAGCGAAGCAAATATGTGCTTGTTAACGGCGAAGAGCACTCCATATGGACGGCCCCCATGTGACATACAATTTGGATATCGATCCTTTGGGTCACGTGGTAAGATTTTTGGTCCCGTGTCATGAAATAACGTAATAATTTTCCCGCTAATATCTGAGGCATGGGCACTGTTCATAAAATTAGATCATCATTATATCCTGCAAAAGTAGAGCTACTTTAGTATCAATAACTCAATTATGCCCGTGTAAGCTATTACACTTTTCTAAGGTTGGCTCGGATAAATTTAAATCTAGCAGTGTAGTTACAATTTGGAATCCTAGAAAGTGACCATCTTGAAATAAAACTTAGTCTTTCATCGGTTTTACTTTATATTTGAAGATTCGATATGTGTCAAAAGTGTACTAAACATCAGGGCCTTGGCACGGTGTACTTTAAAGTTAAGCTGTGTTAACGTGATAAGCATGTTACTCATATAACTGTGTATTCTGTGTAGTGTGTTCTAGGTGACACTGGTGTAATGTTTGTTGATAAAATTGTGACAAATCTCCGTATATTAAGTATAACCAAGGTGAAAGAAAACACAACATAGGTACGTTGGTCAGTTGGAGAAACATTTCAGTAAAGTCACTAGCAACAGGCATATAAGACATCAACTTTGTATATTTATGTTCATGTCTCCGTAAATCATATCTTGATCTATGACTATGATTTTATTGGAACTATGATTATAAATTTATATTTTGACTAAAACTGTCGAAATTAGGTAATAAAAATACGAGGTTTTTTATTTAAAAAAGTTTTGTTCCCCCTTTTCAAAGCTTGAATATACAGCTCGTTTGTCCTAAAGGTTCATTAATGAAGCTGAAAAAGCCTTACAGTGACTAACTTTTCATTTTGCTTACCGAAATTTACCTTCGCTATCGGTAAAATGAAAAATCTTTGCCTAGTCACACACAGGCGTACCGTCAGCTTGCACATTGCAGCTGGACTCGCAGTATCCAAAAATTGAATTTATACTGTTTTACAAATTGAAACACAGGATGACAAAAGTGTTCAGTAAAAATATTTTGGTGAATTATCGTCATCAATTTATTCTCATTGTTATCATCATTTCAATGAATGATTTGTTTTTTGTAATAGTAATACTAAAAGTGTAGTGGTAACAACAAACTAACAAAGCAAAATGGCTAGGGCTAGCAGTAGCAGTGGCAGCAGCCAGCGCTAGCAGTATAAGTACATAGTAGCAGCCAGCGCTCGTTAGCGCTAACAGTAGCAGCAGCCAGCGCTCTTTGTGCTAGCACTAGCAGTTGCAGCAGCCAGTGCTCGTTGGCGCTAGCAGCAGCCAGCGCTCTTTGCACTATAGCATTAGCAGTAGCCGGCGCCCGACGCTCGTTAGCGTTATCAGTAGCAGTAGCTGGCGCCCGATGCTCGTTAGCGCTAGCAGTAGCAGTAGCCGGCGCTCGTTAGCGCTAGCAGCAGCAGTAGCCGGCGCCCGACGCCCGTTGGCGCTAGCAGTAGCAGTAGCCGGCACTTGACGATTATTAGCGCTGCCGCTAGCAGTAGCAGTAGCCGGCGCTTGACGCTCATTAGCGCTGCCGCTAGCATGGTAGCAGTAGCCGGCGCTTGACGCTCATTAGCGCTGCCGCTAGCACGCCTAGCAGTAGCACTAGCCGGCGCTTGACGCTCATTAGCGCTGCCGCTGGCAGTAGCAGTAGCCGGCGCTTGACGCTCATCAGTGCTGCCGCTAGCACTAGCAGTATAAGCAGTAGCCGGCGCTTGACGCTCATTAGCGCGAGCAGAAGGAAGTGTAACTGTAAATTAGCATTACTTGCGCTAGTTAGCGCTTACGGTAACGGCACTACTGTGCTTCATTTAACTATGAGTATGGCTGCAATAATAATTTACTTGCTTATTGCTATTTACTTTCTACTGCCACAACTTACTTACTACCTATACTGTTACGTTGAGCTAGCTAACGCTAATGATAGCACTAACTAGCACCTTCTAATTTACTGACAAAAGCGCTCACTAACGCCGGTTCGGGTTAGCTAACGATAAATATCGCAAAATCCCAGGTTCAATGTTGACAGTTTGTGGTACTGGTAGCTACCACTAACTATATGGAGAATAGAAAAGCGCACCCATCTAAATTAAAACTAGCGCTAACTAATTTCATTTAGCGCAAACATACTCTACCATAACCAAGGCGAGGGAAATTTAGTATCGAGAATTGAGGTACAAAGCTCCATTCTTTCTTAATCTTATTGCTTTATTGCAGAGCTTGGTCTTATTTTAGCCATGAGGCTGTGAGGTTTGAAAAATAAAATAACTTTTTCATGGTATCTTAGAAAATAAATGTTGTGAATATGCCACAGGCTAAATCAACGGCAACAATTTCGTCTATTTATTTTATAATCGGCTCATTTCATCACAGTTTGAAATTTAGAAATATGCAGCAATAATGGATCGTGCACACGATATTTATAACTGCGTTAATTTTGACTGATAACTTGATAAGAAACAAAACAACATTATATGCTACAAAAGCAAGCGATCATAATTTCAAAGAATCTCAATGATAAAATAAATAATAAACTAATAAACATATTTCGCAACCCTGGTTGTGTCGATACATGGATTTATTTGCCGAATTTTTGTAATAATTGTAGCCCATTTCTGTCAGTTTTTGCAAAGAAAACTTGATTGTTAAACATGGATAAATTCAAAAGACCCTAATTCACGGGTTGAAGATTTTAAACAGTTTGCACAACCAGGATTGTGATTCATTAGCAAGTTTCATAAAGCAAGAGGAGATGCACATTCTGCACCATGTGATGTTTATGGCAAATCCTATCACCACACAGTTCACACATGCTATAAACAGCTGAAACCTTTTTGCTGTTTTTTATAGTCTTTCCCCTTACAGTTCGAGAGGCAGTCACGACACTGCTTCTTGCTTTCAACTTTCTTGGGGAAACTAATCATGCTGTTTGGGACTTCAGCTGTCCTCCGAAATTTAGGATTCCCCGTTATGTTGAATGCTGCTGTCAGGACATGTGCTCTAACAGTCCAATGATGGGCTTTTCTATTAGCCAAGGCTTCATGAGAGATAGCACTTATTCCACCTGAATGAGTCCACTCTGATGGATTGCTTAGTTGGACGACAGTGTGGATGTTCACCCTTGTGGTGTCCAGAATGTAATACCACATGCAGTGTTTCCACTTGTTGGATTTCACCTTGGTACTGTATCGACTGAAACAAGAACATTTTTCATTTTGTGAAATATTTCTAAAATGTTCAGATATTATTATTATTAGTACTACGGTACTCGAGTAATACTACACATAATACATATAGTACTTTTTTAATAGGAATTTTAGTGACAATTAAACTAACCCTATCCTCTGATCCATCAAATCAGTTCCGTACTTAGTGAGGTCGTACAGCTTTCCGATCTGCATTCTGCGGCTTCTCTTTGTTATCGTCTTCTGTTACTCCTTTAAAATTAAATAGCACTGGTTTAATAACTATATTCTTGATGTTCACACGTACGTAATGAGAAAAGTGTGTCAAAGTATCAGCTTTGAACGTAATTGAATAGATTGCAACACACAAAATAAATGGATTATTTTTACTGTCGATTTGAACTTAGCTGTAGCTGTACTATTTCAATAAAATACCAACGTCCTTGTCCATAAAGGAGAATATAAGTGCTGAGCTGCAACTCTGAAACACAAAATGTATTTTAAATTGATTGCACAATACTGTTGTTTCAAATGTAAAAATCTTTTTGTTGGCTACGAAGTGGGGATTCGCAATTTTGCAAAAAACGACATCAAACTATCAAATGAGAGCATCTGCCGAAATTATGCCAGCTATGAATGCAAATCACACTGAAGAACAATGAAGAAGAGCGGCCGATATCACAATCACAGTAGCCGGGTTTCTTTATAGGAAGACAAATACAGGAGCAAAGCATAAATCGTCGATGACAAATTACCGAATATTTTGATCCGGTTTCGTGATTCGTTAATATCAGTCACAAGAGAGAATCGTGCGCTCTCATTGGTTTTTATACTAGCGAGCAGTAGCTCAAAGGTGAAACTCAATAATTGAGTTATTTGAAGCTCCTCCGATTGGATTGCAATGCGCTTTGTGACATGACATGTGATCCGCTGTCCACGTGGTGTTTACTTACCAATCAGATCACTTTAAAGTAACATATACCTAGTCGTCCAACTGGACGGTTCTCCGCTAGACATATTTAATGCAATTTTTGGCCTTTTTTTAACTAATAATTAACCATAACTATGTTAAATAGTAATTTTTGTAAAAAACAGATAGTTTAGGCGATAGGTAGTGTTCTTGCCGATAGATAGCTGGCGTATCACCGGTGTTGCTACTACATGTGGAACACAAATGGCAAAACATTGGAGGGGCACTCCACATGGAGTGCTCTTCGCTGTTTAAGGGTTAAAAAGGGGTCTTAAGAAGGAAACTTCAAAAATAAACCTTGAGATAGAACCTTAAGGAGGAATCGTAAGATGGAGCAGCCGGCGTGCAGGTTACTTTCAACTCACAGTCACAGCGGGCAGCAAAGCTATATAACTGTGTAGATACACTCTTGCAGTGATGCACGCCACCACTACACTCTTGACCTACTATCTCGTGAGAAAATAAGTGGGGATGCACTTAAAAATCTTAATAATATGAAATACTTACACTAGGATTGTCTAGGACATTTCTGCGGATAATAGACTTCTTTGAAGTCGGCCGAGAGTTTTATTTTTTATTGTTTGTCAATAGTTATTGAAACAATTCGCCGCTATTACTCGAGCCAGCTTTATATTATTTTTGTTAGTTATGTTAGTTTCCAAGCCGTTAATATTTTCTCTATTACCGAATCAGTAGTTCTACCCCTTTGAGGTTGAATAGTTGCACCAACAAAATATGACTTAAAAGTGTATCAGAAATCAGAGTACCACCGTCTCGGGCTGTTTCACTGCAATTTCCATATAGTTATACACTATTCAGTATGCACAGTTAATTAGCAAGTGGCAAGTCAAAAGGAGGAGCAGGTATTTACTTTCATTTCTTATTTTACATTCGATCGTGGGATCAGGTATTAAGTTCTGTACGTGACATCGACTAAGTGTCTTTTTGGAATTTTGTCAAAAGACCCACCCACCCCCTTTGCGGTACTAACTGTTTTTAAGGATAATAATTAAGACACCCACCCCTTTTGCCGGTACTAACTGTTGAGAAATCACGGTACTTACTGTGTCTTGGTATATAAAATAAGATACCCACCCATGAATTGCTTTAAACAGCTCATTAAACAATGGGAAATTGGCAAATTATACCCATTATTTAGTAGGGGTTTTGTTTTCAATGAAGTCGAATTAGTTACAAAGTTACAAAAACAAAATAAAAAAAAACCCGAAAAAAAGCTCAAAACCCATTCCCAAAATTGAAATTTGAGGTAAAGTGGGTTTTTTTTGGGGTTGGACACCCCCTTTGTACCATGTACTAACTGTTTTTCTGGGAAATGTACCATGTACTAACTGTGTTTTGGAAGAAAATAATGACCCCCCCCCCCCCCCCCCCCCCAAAGTCACGTACGATATTTACCATGTATGATCCCTCCCGGGTTACTGCACCTACAGTTATATTTTCACGTGTTTAGTTGACAGATGTAATTTCCTTATTGTGCGTTTTATGAGCTCAATAATCATTCGGGGTTTGTTGTAAAAGTAAGATGACCACATTTTTAATTTTGAGCAGGTTTGTAGTAACAATAAGACGACCACATTTCTAATTTTAATCATCATGAAGTACAAATTTCCAAAACTGAAAGTCGAAATGATTTAATGACATATCTATTCTCGGCTAACATTTATCCTCAGGTCATGCTTCGGAGGCTCCATCAAATCATGACCATATTTTACTCATTGTTGGTCACGTTAGTCGTTCTCTTTGATGTGACGAACGTTCTAGCTTCCTTTTACTCATGTTCAAACCATTACTATACGACCTGTAGAATCTTGTTGTGCAAATATCGCTTGAAGTTTAATTAACGAGCTCGTTTATCATTTTAAAGAGCTCGTTTATCATTTTAATCCACACAACAAATCGTTTGGAATTTTAAATACAAAACAAGTCGTTGTACGTCCTCGCTCGTGAATTTATAACGAATTTATAACGACTTCTTATATAAATGGCTTACAACGACTTGTTTGGTCAGTTAGCTGTTATATGATAATCACATTGAGACTTTGAAAGCCTTGAAAAATATCACAGCGCTCACATCAAAGTAAAAATGTTCAGCTTCAAAAGGCCGCTTTAAATTTTCACAAAAGAAAACATGACCAAAAATTGTTATTCTAAAGAGGGAACGCTCCAAGAAGGCCTAAGAAGGGCTTCCCGGGCTTTGTTCATAATATGCAAGGTATTTAGAGACTTCTATTTTTATCATAGTTTGAGTGAGTAACAGTGCATTATTGGTGGTTGCTTTGAAGGGGTGCTAATCAGGTCGCCGCTATTTATAACGCTTATTATCACGCTAATTTTGCCGTATTTTGTCGTATGAGAATATACGAATATTCCTTTGCTTTCTCTTCGTCCATAAGACTGTACTTTAAAGGCCTGGCCGAGAGACATTAAGATAAATATTTGAACCAATGTGTTTCGACTGCACTTTTAAAATTAAATGAGAGCACCCGGAGAAATGTTTTTATGGGAACTGGTGTTCAATTTTCATCTGGACAATGCCTTCTTGCCTGTACACTCAGGTTACCACGTAATACTAAGATATTCACTACCTTCATATGCATTGCACATTCTATATTCTATAGACTATATTCATAATATCAAAGTTTGTTTTGTGAGATATTTCTCTTAGTTTGTCGTTATCTGTATCATTCACTCGAATATACTATTCCTCCATATTTCACTTTGACACATTGTCGATAAAAGTCGTGACAGGTTGAGTGATGTCCTTATATGCTCCTTTGTAATATGCTCTTTTAACTTTTTAAATGCCCCGCCAATACCAGACACCCTTTCATTCTTGAGCCATATTCTGGTGACAATTGACAAGCCCTCAGACGAGAAATATAACAGGATGGAGAATTGCATTGGATATTGACATGGTTCCTTGACGGTTTTAATGATGGGACGGTTAAGCACGACACGTATTTATTCGATTATAAAAAAGAGAACCATCGGCATAATTTTTGCATTTTCGATGAAAAAAATTAACAATTGGCGTTTTAATTTTTAAAGCTAGTGTTGTGAGTTGATGTTTTAAAACTTCTCATTTGCTGTTAAATACGTGGAATTCCACGTTTTTCGTCAAATAATTCGGCTAAACAATGGACATTGGACAATGCCTATTATTATGATGATCAATGATGGAACAACTTCCCAGATCGAACTAGATGTATTCCGCGAGCTGTACTCAACCGAGGATGGCCGTATCCAACACTCATGAAATTGAAGCCGCAATATTATTTGATGCATCGATCGGTTCATTTAAAGTAATAATTATGTATATATTTTTATAAATGAATGTACATAGTTCTCGCAGACATCTTCCGTATTTCATTTTAAAGTGAATTTCGGGAGATATCGGCGAGAAATACATTTGCTTTTGTAAACAGAAAACGCTACATACACTTACTTATCAGCACTGAAATTTTTATGGCGTTGTGCAATTTGCTTCTATACACCTAACACATTTCTCACTTGATGACAAATCTAACACTGTGGGCTCTCTTTCAAACAGCATGAATCTAGCTTACTACGCCCTTGCATCTATTCACAACAAACCCAAACACTACACGTAAAAGCGGGCCATAAACAGCTTGAAACTATTGTTTATCAGGATCTGTAGTTTGTAGTCTGTAGTCTGTAGTCTGTAGTCTGTAGTCTGTAGTCTGTAGTCTGTAGTCTGTAGTCTGTAGTCTGTAGTCTGTAGTCTGTAGTCTGTAGTCTGTAGCCTGTAGTCTGTAGTCTGTAGTCTGTAGTCTGTTCTAATCGTAAGATTAACACGTGTAGTTCTATGAGGGCAGGGCATCATCCAAAATTTATCAACATCAGTGCTTTTCTACGTCGTTACTTTGTTGGTACCATGTGAGCGTTCTTTTTATACATAATTGGTATATAATTCGCATGTTTTCCTTTTATTACGCAAATATAATATCCGTAGTGTTATATTAGACAATGAATGGACACACAAGTGTATCACAACAGAAGACCTTCTGTGGAAATTTGTTTTAAAACACTGCGAATTAAATATGGCTTACCAGAGTCTGGTAACCAGACGTCTGAGTTCTAAATAATATGGACTATTTACGACTCGCGTGTTTCAAATCATGGGGGTAGAATTGCAACAACATAAATGGAAACAGTTTATATTGAAACATATTTAAATATTAACGTGCGGGAGGCAACCGCCATCTTTGCCAAAACGTAGTTGCTGTACCGACTGTGCTGCAGTAAAAAAGGGATCTTTCATGAGACCTTGGTACCTTGGTATCTACTATCTTGGTTAATGAAAATAGAGGGTCTAGATATATCGAATTTGAGATCGACAGTCTGGAGATACTGGTAGTATATAATCCAGGAGGATCAGGGCCGTAACAGTACTATTAATACAGTTAACAGTAGTGTTACAGAATGATATCAATATTATGTAGGTACCTTTTTATGAAGTCCTTCATTACAAGATTAATTCTTCAAAACCCATTCAGTTGCATGAGCCTTCAATGTAAAGATGTAAAATTCTGAACAGTCAGCTCCGTAATACCCTACCTGAACGGTACCGGACAATGTTCCAAGGGGGGGGGGGGGGGGGGGATCATGTTATTTTTTGTCCGTTTTTGTCCGTTTTTGTCCGTTAATTTTTGTCCGTTTTGAAAATATAGCTG